GAGATAAAGTGACTGGCCCAGGATCACACAGTCAGGATATGTCAGAAGAAGGGCTTTAACCCAGAGNGAGATAAAGTGACTGGCCCAGGATCACACAGTCAGGATATGTCAGAAGAAGGGCTTTAACCTTCCTGACAGAGTCTTCCTGACTCTGACTGAGACCATTTCTATAACCAGCAATGCTCATTCTTATGTGGAGCTTATTCACTTAAATGTTTAAATACACAATAAATTAATGTATAATAAAATTGCCCCATAATGTAGTTATATCTAAAGAATTGATTATTGTGCATTAATTGTGTACATAAATGTAATAACAATATAATATTATACATAATAATATTCTGTTAGCATTCTTAATATAACATGTTACAATAACAATACTGCATTTGTATTGCTTGATTTTATTAATGTATGTTATGATAATATGAAACATTTATTGAATATAAACATGTTAAGCCCATAAATGGAGTCTTCTGATCATCTTGGAGTCTGTAGGACATTTTAAGGAGGGAGCCTCAGGGAATGCCTAGTCTAGACCCTCCTTTTACAGGTAATCACAAGATGGTGGTCCATCAATCTATCAATCCACATTCATAAAGCACCTACTCTTTGCCGGGACCACAGGCTCATGGCTCTAGAGGCCACTGAGTCCCATCCCCTCATGTCACAGATGAAGGATGCCCTCCACCCAGCTCTGCGGGAAGGGTCCCTCAGTTCACGCCAGATGGACTGCCCCTGACAGTGAGCCAGCCCACCAATGAGTGACTTTCCTCTCATGCTCTGTCCATCAGAGCCCTGGGGACGGGTGGGGGAGTGGCTCACCTTGGCCACTTCTGGGCAGGGGTCCTCCAGGTGGAGAATCAGAGGGATCCAGCTCTTCCTGACCTCCATTTTGAAGAAGTCCCTCTTCTTCCCAGCCCAGATGGCGAGCTTCCCAAACAGGATGATGGCCTGCAAGCGAAGCGTCTCGTTCTCCTGCAGCCAAGAGCCCACAAACACACAGGGACCTGCTGAGGACTGGATTCGATCCTGTGCAACAAGCCCGGGTGAGGTGCAGGGGAGACCATGGCAGGAAGAGAACCAGCCC